ATATTTTTCTTATCTTTGGGGATAGTTTTCTAAAAAATAGATATTACAATCAATCAGAACGGTTTTCTTATTTAAACTTCATATATTTAAATTACAAATAGTAAATAGTTTAGAGAATCCTTCGGATCCTTATCTTTGCGTAGCCTCGACTCCGTAGATGCTTCCTTTAACCTCTTCGTTATTGCATGTGAGTGCGGTCGACCTCATGTCTCCTTCTTAGAACGGTCGACCTCTTACTTACACCAGATGCATCCTTGTAACTGTTAACTCTCAATAAAGTTATTTGTTGACGTGGCTCTTAGGGCTCAGTTGTACTTATTCATTTAATGCTCTTCTTTATGGCCTGCGGGCCCATTTAAGGTTCGGCATAATACCCTACAATAAGTTGGTCCCACTAAATAAGAGTTGAATCGCGTCAAACCTGAACATCTCCTAGTTAAGAATTGTTAGACACTAAAAGTGAGTGTGAAACCCTTTTCCACAGTGAGTGACTCCTCTAAAATTCGTTCAGCCATATAAGATATTTTATATAGGCTTCCCAAATCAACGTAGGTTAGGAAACCACAAAGGTCACTATAAGGGGGTGTATGTAAACCCTTAAATAATGTTAAACCATGTGGAACATATCTTTTAAGATAGTGTCATGTAAGGTTGTTCATTAGTCTTAAAAGAAATGTGACAAATACTCCTTAGAGTGCATTAGTCTAGATTTTTACTCCATATATTGATTAAGGTATTTTTTAGTCAAATAATTATATTAGTTAAAAGGGTATTAATCAATAGTAAGAGATAAAAATTCAGACTCATGTACTTTAATGGTAAGTTTAACAATTTTCTCTTAATCTCCTTTAATTAAAAACAATTGAGAATTTACCGTTAAGAGTGCATGAGTCTAGACTTTTACCCCTTACTTTTGACAAATACCCTTTTTGTTAGTGTAATTATTTAACTAAAAAAGTTATGAATCAAGAGTAAAAGATAAAAATTCTGACGTAAACACTTTTAAGTGGTATTTATCAAAATTACTCATCTTAATTAAATCAATCCGGACCAATTGAGGTCCAACACTAGATTTTTATTTAGCTTCAGATTGGACCTATACGACAAATAATAGACCACCATTTTCAATCGACATCATCCAGAATAGTTCCACAGCTCTGGAAAGACTGTGGACGCAGTTTGGGGTATTGGCTTAGTTTGGTAGTGCTGTAGATTTTAGAAAAATTACTTTTAGCTATGCTGAGGGAGAAGCAGCTGTTACAAAAAGCAGCTGGGTGTCTGATAAACTATAATTATAGTAGCTGTGCTGGTTCTAAAATCAGCGTAATAGCGTTTGGTAAATTATGAGGTTGAATTGTTGTGGATAGTTAAAAAGTACAACTATATTATATTATACTATAATATAATATATATATATATATAATTATAATATAATATATATT